AAGTTTGTTCTATTATTTATTTGTTACAGGGTTTAAACCATTTACAAAATACATTATGTTACTTATGTACACAAAAAAATATTAATATAATTACTGTAACAAGCACATATTTGTTTTACCTTACAGCTCTCACTTTAAATTATAAAGGCATACCTATTAACAACTATTTTATTTAAAAGGATATTGAGTAGTAATCGGTGGTGCACAAACGATACTAATTCACAGTACCTATCTATTCAAAATCTTTATCACCAGCTTTAACGCAAGCATCAATCGTTCTTTTTGTATGTCATTTAATTGAGCGATCTGTAATATTCCATAGGTAGGTTTAAAAAAATTAAGGTAAAATGATTGTTGCAGTACCGAAACTTTATAGGGGATGCATTATCAGAAATGTTTTCAATACATTATGACTAATTCGTAGCGACAAACCTAAAAAAAAAAATGTTTTGAATTTCACTCATCAGAGTCAGTCTTTGAAACACCGTTCATACCTGTTTGAGGTGCTGTTTTTTTTTTACTAATTTATTGGGAATTTACACCATGTTAATTTGCACATCTTCAACAGCTTTTGTTATTACTTGGGGCCTTTTAGAGCTTTTTCCTTTTTTATAATTTTGAACAAATATTTGTTTATGACAAGAGGGAATCACATTCCATTTATTCACCTGGAAAACGTTCCTCAAATTTTGGAATACAATTACGAATATAAAATAATTTTGTTCCAGTGTAACATTACCTGAAATAAATGATATACATTAACTTTTACGAGTTGCAGTAAATAAATTTGTACTTACCAATAAAAAGAATTAAGGTAGCAATAATCTCTAAAAATAACTAATTGCTCTATTAATATTAAATGAAAAATGGAATAAAGGTGTTTATAAAATATAAACAAATATAACATAAATATTCTGTCCCCAAATGAACGCCAGTGACATTTCTGACAGGACTGACAGTTCAGTTTAGTTCCTTTTACGTCAAATCAGGCCCTTTCGATGGGTTTTTGATGGTTATCAGATCACGTGGGTTTCGGGTATTGTTGAAGACCTGGTACAATTAAATAAGTATATTAATACAACAATTTTTTAAAGTCTGTATTAAAAAATTTTTTTTTCACACAGATTATTAAATTAAAAAAATAACTATTAAAACACGAAATGTTAATTTTTTCTCTTTTACCACACAAAATATACAATACTGTTGAATCAAAATTTTCTCTTGGCAGCAGGTGGTTTTTGTGACGCGACAATTATGATGCCTTGCATCTCATGAATTAAAGTTAATTCTCTTTCAATCTTAAGGTGTTCATACCCCTTATAATTATCGGACAAGAATATCTCAAAATATTTAAATTTTGGCAAAATAAATTAGGCAATAATATCTATAATATGCATATATTTTAATGTTTTAATTGCTTCCAGTTTCCCAAAAAAACTAAAAGGGCTTTAATTTTGAAATATCATAATGAAAATAAATGCATTCCTCGACAGCACTATTCTTAATATAATCCCCAAATTTAAGCCCTCAATGTCTTGTTAATGATTTCTTAAAATTCGCCAAAATTAGTGGCTAAAACGCTTCGTTAAGTGCTATCTTCTGGTGTAAACTGGTGTAAATTATTGCAAGAAACGAATAATGACAGAGTGTACGATACGATAGTTACAAGCCCGTTACACTGTTTTCCACTCAATTTATTAAAAAAAAAAATAATAATAAATTAGGGTGTTAATTTTTTTTCTCTGAAGCTATTGGTTTTAGGAAAAAAATTTAAGAATAAAAAAAAATTAAATAAATCAAGGATTTCATAAAAGTTGATCTCGAAAAAAAGTTTTGATATAAAATAAAGTAAGTGTTGCTAATTTGATCCCCCTATAATGTAACAGAAATATTGAAAAAATACCCGTGGTTAGTCCTTTGCGATTACAGAATTTCAAGTTTCTAGCTTTACTGAAATTTTAGAAAAAAAATAACTCAATTTTAGTCACCACTTTTTAAGGGTGATATCTCGAAAAGGGGTGGGCTGAGGAAATGTTGTTATAGAAAAGACCCATCTTAATTTCATACGAGCATTCAGTTCCTGAATTTTGTCGCATGTATTTAGAAACACCCTGTATATTACACATTTTTTTAAGCGTGAAAAATTCTTGACAATCTCTTTTCCCTAATTGGCACATGTCGTATTTTTCTAGGATTTACTAACTCTGGCAGCAAACAAATAAAATAGATTTTAAGGTGAAGGGTGAGAAAAAGTCCTTTATAGGAAAGTCAATGTTTAATTGTTTAACAAAACATTGAGTGCGACCGGTTTCGAAGTGTCATCACTTCATCTTCAAATAGAAATTTGTCAGCTGTGCATTTTTGCCTTTCAGAATTTTTCATTTCATAAATTAACTAAAAACTAAATTAAACAAAAACCTAACAACGCCTCAACAACAAACTAAGACGATCACAATAATTTCGCACCTCTTCAAAAACAACTACCTATTTTTCGACACAGGAATTAACAAATTTAACTAAACGGCAGCTACCCTTTTAACCACGGGCTTCAAAGACTAGCAGCGTTGCCATATTCACTGGTATCATTGTTTTAATAGAATTAGTATCGGAATGAAAACTATGTTAATCTTCGGTCCTGTTTAAAATTGGTAATCTTTTTGAAAAAAAGTTATTTAGAAAATAGTTAAGATATTTGTTATAGAATGCCGGTAAAGAGCCAAAAAATTAAATTTATTAAAAAGTTGAAATTTTTGTTGTTTTTCTTTAAAAATATAAGTTTTTCGCGGTTTAGCGAAATTCTTGGTTCATTTTTACAACGATTGGCCTGAACCATTTTTTTTTACAATTTTTTTTAACTGCCTCAAATGTAAAATTGTTTTTTGGTGGAGGAGCGCCCGTCATGTTTGCTCTTAATGCATTATCTCTGCAATTTCGCCGAAATAAAATTTACCATGGAAATAAAAAACGCAAAAAAGTACCAAACCTTATCAGATGACAAAAAAGTTTAAGCGAAATAAACACCAATATTTTCTACTAAGCAATCATACAAATAGAATATCCAGTGGCGTACCTACATTTAGTTTATAAAATAAGAAAATGATTTAATAAGAAAAATCGCAATGAAATGCTCACAGTGTGGAATTATTCATCAGCCTACAGAAGAATAAAAATATCCATGCTCCACATGTGATGGATGCAGAAGATTATATACTACTGATTTTCTAAAGAAGACTAATGAAAATAAGGATAAAATAATAAGAAGTAAAGATGAAATAATAAATAGCAAAAATGAAATAATAAAAATGCTTTAAGAGAATATTAAAGCCATCTTATATGTTTTTTGGGGCGCTGATTACGAAAATCGGGGTTAAAACTTATAGCAATGGTTGAACCACCCCAAACATTGCAAAAAAAAACCCTAAATAGGGGTGTTTTTCGGCTGTACTTGTTGTTTTGCAAACTAACTCATCTCATATGTTTTTTGGGGCGCTAATTTCGAAAATCGGAGTGTCGAGACTGGAAAATTTTTGTGACACCCTCCCACATGCCAGAAATACCCCTCCCAAGGGGTGAATTTTCGGAAAAAATGACCAGTCACGGTGTTTCGCGAACTAAGTCATCTTATATGTTTTTTGGGGCGCTGATTACGAAAATGGGGGTTAAAACTTGCAGCAATGGTTGAACCACCCCTAAAATTGCAAAAAACACCCCCGTAATCAGCGCTTAGTTTGTAAAACAATAACTACAATCGAAAAACACCCCTATGTAGGGTTTTTTACAATTTTAAGGGTGTTCCAACCACTGCTGCCAGTTTTAACCCTCATTGTGGTCTCGTCAAGTGCGGCATTTCTCGCTCTTTTACCGTTATTTTAAATGGACTATATCAGAAAAACGAAATAAGACTTCAATACTGTATAGTGTATACTGTGAATGTTGAGGAACTGCATTTAAACAATTGATACAAAGGAAAAAATATGTATAAGATGGGAAAGACTTCGGGATTATGAAGATACATTTAAATAGTTCATGATTATTTGACACACAGACAATAGATGGTAAAGGTCAGAGACAATGTGAGTAACCCTGAAAATATACAAATCGGAGTGCCTCAAGGGACTGTTCTGAGACCTGTACTATTTAATTTATATATTAAGAGCTTAACTCAGATTGATATTCAAGGTAAAGTTGTATCATATGCTGATGATACAGTGCTAGTCTTCAGTGATAAAGCCGTCAAATGATGATATAGCTGGAATGGAACATGTCAAAAACTAGCTGGATGTTTTTAAATTGTTTTTGAATGTTAACAAAACAAATTACATTGCTTTTTCAAAGGCAGTGGTTGATATCGACCTCAATTTAGAAGCTTAACATGTCAAAATTTAGACAGGACCGATATTGAAGCGCTGTCGCTGCACAACAATAACGGACTCGTCCCATTTTAAATACTCCTCAACTGCGAACACGCGATGCTCTCTTGTCCAGATAACCATTGTGAATAACAAACGGTAAGCTTTCCTGAATCCAACGATGTCAACCGCGGCTCTTTACCCCCATCCGTTCGCGTTTATTAGCCGATCTAAAAACGCCCGTCCATTATGCCCCACCCTGTATAATTGGTTTCCATTATCATACTTTATTGTAACTTATTTATTATTGTAACCATTTTAACTTATAACTAATAAACTATTAAACGTAGAGCTGTGTATTTAGGAAAACGATCAAAATACATCTCAAGGAAAACTCTTGTTTTATTCATTTATACAGGATCTGTCAGAATGTCAGAAAGTGAATTAATTTAATTGTATTACGTATATACCTTTTTTAAAATGTAATTATAAGTTTTTCAGTCATTAATGATTGTTTTTTCACCTTTTGACTTTCGTTCCTATAAATTATTTTTATTTTTCCCCATTATCCATATAACTACCATCAAATTTATTTAATTTAGAATCCATTTTTCTAATCACACAAGACCTAATTTTTTTTTTTTTTTTTAGTTTCTTTAATGTCCAAGAAATAGAAGTAGTTGTAGATTACTTGAAAAAAATTATATCGAACAGAGTGAGAGGCCGTCAAATAATTCAAGATGATGTTGGTGTAATTACGCCTTACCGTAAACAAGTAAAGATTTAATAACGTACCTGTCTGATTTTTATAATTAATTTTCATTTATTTAAGGTTGAAAAAATTAGAAACGCGTGTTCTAAAACGCAATGGAACTCCCTTCTCGTCGGATCTGTGGAACAGTTCCAAGGAAAAGAAAGAATGATTATAGTTATATCTACTGTTAGATCCAAGAACGTTCATAAGTACGAACAGATTGATCAGAAATGTCAATTGGGCTTTTTAAAAAATCCTAAGGTATAGTTCACATAAAATTCACATTTGTTTGGCAATCCAATGCTGCCCGATCAATCTATATAACTATAAAATTATTCTTCACATCGTTGTCTTAAAAATTAGAAAAACAGATTGAATTCTAGATAGCTTTAATTTCCCTCTTTATTTTCCAATTACCGCCGTAACTTTTGCATAATCCAGTCAATTGATTTGTAATTAAATTTTTCAATTTTTAGCGATTCAACGTCGCCCTGACAAGAGCTAAAGCCCTTTTAATCGTAATTGGCAACGCGAATGTTTTGAAAACCGATAATAACTGGTCGAGTTTCATCAAATACTGTTTGGAAAATAATTCTGTAGCAGGAAAACGATTTACACTGTCTGACAATGAAGAGTAATTATGAGCTTGCAGATTCACAGAATGAAGCCAATTTGTACCCAGATGTTTTAAGAATGTTAATTTTATTCATTAGTTTTGTAGAATTTTTTAATTTTTGGTTTATTTTTTGTCGTTGTATCGTTTTTATTGTTCAAATAAAGTTTTTTTTACTGTAGACTACATTTTTTATTTTTCCTTTTATTGTTTTGTAATTTTATCGTTTTAATATAGTCTTATCGCCTCGTAGTTAAATATTTTCTTCCAATTTTATGTTTGCATAGGGCACCTTTTAAATCTGCCCAATTTTATATTGTGTAAGATGAAATATTTACAGCTGCTTTGCCAAGATACTTGACAACAAAAAAGGACTAAAAAAGTCACTTTTAACACCCCTGAAACCATTGCAGAGGCATTTAATGATTTTTTTTATTAATACTGGAGAATTACAAATATTACAAAACCAAATACACCCTTACCACTCACTAAGATAAACCCTAAATCTCTTTTTTTGCGTCCTGTAAATACTAATGAAATTCTTGGTATTATCATGTCTCTAAAAAATAAAAAATCTCCAGGATTTGATAATATAAAAAAATAAATTTTCAAAGAAACTACTGATTTAATAGTACAACCAATTTGATATATCATAAATAGAATATTTGTTTCCAGTAAAGTTCCAGATGAATTTAAAATAGCAGTTGTAACCCCTATACATAAAAAAGGTGAAGTAAAAATATAAATAATTACAGAAATCATGATTTTTTTCGACCTCGAGTTTTCGACGGATTTTTACGTTTTGAGGTCCCCTGGATCCGTTTTGACTATTTTTGCGATGATGTGTGTGTCTGTCTGTGTGTGTGTCTGTATCCATCATAACTCATGAACCGATACACAGAAAAACACCAAATTTTAAACTTAAGCTTTTTTCCATCGTCCAATGAGATGATTAGATTTTAGGCAGAGTTGGAACATCTGAGGGGTACTTTATGAGTGGTCATTTTTATATTTTATGGAATATATCTGTTATTTACATTTGGAGAAGAAAATTGTTCAAATAAAAGTTACTTTTAATATTATTATAATAATATTCGAGAAATTTGACAAAATGTGTAAAATTCTTCTAAAAGTTGTTTGGGATATCGATCTCTATAATTTTTGTTCGTACATAATTTTTCTAAAATGGACCGTAATAGAAAAATTGTAAGAAATTTAAATTTTTCAGTATTTTCGTTTTCAATGAATATCTATCGAAAAATGTTTCGTGTTTCTATACTCAAACAAATAATGATTGAGAGTGAACCGTGTTGTCATATCTCAATTTTACCTTACTAGTTTTTAGCAGAATCAAAATAGAGTAAGTAGTAGAGTTGTAAGTTGTGGCAAATTATAGATAATATACAATCATAGTACTAATAAAAGATATTAATTATAACAAAAATCAGTAATGAATAATACTTATACATTTCTTGATCATTTAAAATTAATTATTTTATGGATTGTTCAGTATTTGTTACAACTAATGGCATCGGTGTACGGAGCGATATTTATGTCTTTGTCTGTTACGCGTAAAATCCATCTCGTCGATGATGTTCTCAGTAGTGTATTTCTAACCACGAGCGTAACATCGGGTTTTGAATTATACGGTGTGAATTGTTAGTTTTACATTTAAGTTAGTAAGTAATCGAGTGTTGTAAGAACAATTGGTGAAAATATTAGTGCTAATAAGTGTTTAAACATTAAATAATAATATTTCTTCACCGTTCTAAAACTATGCAAAAAATGGAAGACATTGAAGGGCCTTCAACGTCGAAAAAGGTAAAACGGTCGAAGTCTCGGTCGCTAAGTGAAAAACAAATTGTACTTCGAGTATTTCACTGTCTTGAAAGAGATCATCAGCGACCAAAAGATAACTTAGTGCATATGTGCTGTAATTCTACGGATGTATCTCCGAATAACCAACCGGGCGTTCCAACATCATTAACTTCCACAATTACAAAAGATAAATTAGTTGATATGTGCTCTGATTATACGGGTGTACCAAAATCATCAGTTTACAAAATACTAAGAGAAAACAAAATTCATGGGGAAGTACAAACGCCAAAAACTAGTAGCGGAAGAAAAAAAAATCACAGTTGATGAAGAAGCCAAAAACAGTATACGCACAACTATTCACAGTTTCTTTTTCAGAAATGAGCTGCCCACTTTGCAAAAATTTCTGGAGGTAGTTAGCGATCATGAATTGGTCCCACAAATGAGTAAAGAAACTTTGAGGAAAATTTTACACGAAATGAAATTTACGTACGGAAAAGTCGACAGGAAAAGCATTCTCATTGAACGTCAGGAAATAATAGTATGGAGAAGAAATTATCTCCGAAAAATTGAGGAATTTCGGAATATCAAAAAAAAAAAATTTACTACATGGATGAGACGTGGGTTAACCAAGGACATACGGTCAAAAAAGTATGGCAGGATGGTCATATAACAAGTGCACGACAAGCCTTTATTGAAGGCTTGTCAACTGGGTTAAAACAGCCGTCTGGAAAAGGTAGTCGTCTGATAGTTACGCATATAGGAACCGACAGTGGATTTTTACCAAATGGTGAATTAATATTTAAATCCAAGAAAACAGGCGACTATCATGAAGAGATGAATGCGGAGGTGTTTGAAAAATGGTTTGAAGGCATCATTCAACTTGTGGAACCTGGGTCTGTCGTCGTCATGGACAATGCCCCATATCATAGTCGGTATTTAGAATCATTACCGAAACAATCATGGAAAAAACGAGCAATTCAAGAATGGTTAATTAATAAAAACATCCAATATAAAAAAGATAGTTTAAAGGCAGAACTACTTCAGTTAACAAAATTACACAGAGATAAATATAAAAAATTCGCAGTGGATGAAATGGCGTTAAGTCGTGGAATTACAGTATTAAGGTTACCACCGTACCACTGCGAATTAAACCCAATAGAATTAATCTGGGCGCAAGTAAAAGGATATGTGGCACGAGAAAACAGAACATTTAAATTAGTGGACGTGCAACGTTACCTACAAGAAGCCATTCAAAATGTTTCTGCAGAAGACTGGAAGAAATGCATTCAGCATTTTTTAAAAGAAGAGCAAAAAATGTGGGACGTAGACAACCGTATTGAACACAATATTGAACCAATCATAATTAACTTTGATGATAGCGGTAGCAGCAGTGACGAATCTGAGGTTGAAGATTAGAAGAAAATTTGTACACAAAAAGAAGTCTATATATTTAGGTATAATTTTTATTTTTACCATTCACTATTACCATTTAGAAATTATTATATAAATTTGTATTTTTAATTCCTTACACAGACATGAACAATGTCTCAGCAGGATACAAATGTTTATTTATTTAATTATTATTATTGTATCAATTTGTACATTGTTACATAAATTTGAAATAAACATTATTATTATTATTATGTTTGGCGGTCAAGAAAACATAATCCTGTAGGTTATATCCAAACTAATTATCTTACTTAGGGATTTCCGAAATGATAGGTGCGTGTAAACTTTTATGATTTAAGTACCAATCAAATAGTAATTTAAGCTTTATAATGTCTTTTAATGTTGGCCGAATCCAATTAGGGTATATATAGAGGTATGCTTTATTGTCATTGAAAAATTACAAAAATTTTATAGACAAAGCGAAGTAAATTAAAAACTAAATATAATATAAAAAGATTAAAAAATACAAAAATTTAAAAATAACTAAACAAAATAAAAATATCAATTGCATTGGATATGCAATATCCGTCATTATGATTTTAATTTAAAATTTAAGTAATACTTCTGTATGTGTAACCCAAGAAGAAACTTAAGAGACAGTTCCTCACTGACTTCGGCTGCGACATAATATATAAATATACGTTAATTTGTGAAATAAAGTTAAATTCATTATTAAAATAGTAAAATTGATAATATTGTTTCTGTCACCAAACCAACCCCTGATTAGGTATCTTTCTTATTTTTAATTTGAAATATATATTGTGATTTTTATTAATATTCTTAATTTATTTGGTTCCTGCTATAATTACCACAATTATTACTCCGTTTTCATAAAGCCCCACTAATGACTACAACGATTAGGTAAATTACGATATTGCAAAGTTTTCATGAAATAAATAAAAGAAATTGTATGAATATTTTAAATAATTGTACCCTCTCAAAAATAATAAGCACACCTCCGATTTGGTCGTATTTCTACCTGCTTTCACTCTCAATCATTATTTGTTTGAGTTTAGATGTATATGAAAAATGTATATATTTAGTTTATCCTCTAAATATTTATAAAGGTGCTGCAATAGGTTGTACAAAATAACCGGAAAAAGCCTATAATAACTAGATAGGAAAGTCATGTGTCATCAGATTTTTTAACGATTGTAACATCATATCAGAAAAACAATTTGGATTCAATGAAGATTTATCAACAAATGATGCCATAGGAAAACTAGTTTATGAAATTACAAAATGTTTGGAAATAAATAAATAAACCCTTATTATGCGTTTTTCTTGATCTGGTCAAGGCCTTCGACACTGAGCCATACACAGATGTTGGAAGCTGCAGGTATACGTGAGGAACCTAAACAATTATTTAACAAATCGAAGATAAGTGGTAAAAATAGACAAGACATTTAGCAAAGAAAAAATAGTTAACTACGGTTTACCACAAGGAACTGTTTTGGGACCAATTTTGTTTACATTGTATGTTAATAATATTCTTACATCGGCTTCAAGTGGGCAATTATTTAGTTTTGTAGACGACACCGCCGTTTTATATACCGACAGTGATTGGGACCGTCTAAAAATCAAAGCTTTTAAATGATTTAAACACAACTTACTAACTGTAAATTATGAAAAAACCTTTTTTATGCCCTTTTCAAATAATTCTGGATGTCTCGCTATGTATCAGTCTTTAACTATTCAAAATAATACAGAAAAAAAATCTAATAGCAGTTATAAATATTTAGGACTTACACTTATTAACGTACGCGCTGAGGGACAAAAATTTCTTATTTAATCCAATATTAAAAAACATGCCTTGAGATTCTGAAGAAGCGTAAAGTTTTTTCCAGGAAAGT